TACGTCACATAAAATGGAACAGAAAGAGTAATATATATTATTTGAAAATGATATAAGAAGTGCTATAACTCACAATAATTAACAACTACAAAATATATTTAACAAAATCACATACAAAAAATTATATAACTCTCCAAATTTCATCGGTGTCACATAAATTGAAACAAAGAACTACTCCCAATTTATGTTATTTACTTTCCTTTTTAGTCAGTCCCAAAAGAATGTCACATTTCTATATTAAGTAACAATTTGATTATAAAATATTTATTTTACCCTTAATGAAATAATTTACAGTCATACAAATTTATATCATTCATTTTGGACCACAAATTTTAAAAGTCTTCATTTCTTTTTTAAACTCCGTGGCGAATCAAACTACTTCACATAAAATGAGACGGAGAAAGTAATATACATTGGGCCCGCGCTGGCGCGGGAACCTAATAACTAGTATATATATATATATATATCAATAGAACTACTTCTTCAAAACATTAAAAAAATATTTTATTAATTAATTCTGCCATGAGACTTTGCCCACTTTTATTTAATTGTTCAACCTTTGAAAGTTTAGTCGTTATGAGTAGTTGCAATAATGACTTAATATTTCTCTTTCCAAATGAAACATAAAAAATCTTGACTAATGACTATGGTTAGGTATTTAATTGGTTAAACCTTCAATCATCTGGTATTTGAAATAATTTTTGGCCCGATAAATTCATGTAGAAACTATATTTAAAAATTTGAGACTGCTAATAAAAGATTGAGAAATTTTAATCATTTCAGTAATTCCACAACACATTTCAGTGGAAACTATGTATGCTTAGTTATATAGACTAATTGTGTTCATATCCAGAAAAAAATAGTGAGGTTTTACTTAATTATGAAATACGATAATATAAATACATTTTATTTATATGCATAATAATAATAGTAAAATATATTGTATTCACACCTATACAATATCATTGTATAACTATATACAAACCTAAAATACTAATCAAGAATAAAGTGATCTTGACCCTTTTAACTACACACCTAGATGGAGACTATATATGCTTAGATATGATTGTCAATATTTTTTTTTAGTAGGTATAAAAGAGTTCTCTAGGGGGGACACATTAACTTTCCATTTTGGTAAGTATTACTCAAGTGACGTTGTCCTAATTGCAATAGTAATCGATTTTATTATATTTTTAAAGTAGAAGAGATTAATTATGAACAAGGATTATTTATTTTCCTTAAGAAAAAAAAATGTTGGTATATATAACTTAATCCTCTGGGCATATTAATACAATCAATTTTATTAATTTTGTCATGAGACATACACTATTGAAAAACAATATTTTTGATATAAAAACTAGCTTATAAGATAGAGACGGTTTAAGACGATAGAAAGAGACTAAATTCTTATCACGTAATTGATGTGGGACAAGTTAAGAGTCCTTTTGCTTTCGCATGGCCTAAACTTCTTCTTCGTAACCATCCATATCGCAAAATTAATCGACGCCAACTATAGTAGTTGAAAAATAGGGCCCAACCAAAATCCCTTAAATATCCTCTTTAAATAAGTTGATCTTACAATATTGATCAAGTTGACTAATTGAGAATGAACGATTTTACGATTTTTTAATTAATTATTTAAGATCATATAAAGAGACTTATATCACACCACCACAATCAAGGACAACTTCTAAGAATTAATATCTATATATGTAGCACAAAATGAATAAAATGCTTTATATTGCATTTAATGAAA